CGTCGGTGGCGCGCGCTAAGCTTGGTCTCGGTCAGGACTATGACGTCCGGCTTATGTTCGTCTAGCATGTGTGCGATTCCCTCGCGGTGACCCTGGAGGCCCCGTGTGTTCATCGTGAGGACTTTAAGGTGCCCGGACTGCGGGGCGCCCGGTGTCGGGGGGTTGGGGTCTGCGGCGGTCGGCGGCGGCTGCTTTTCGGTTGCGTTGTGCACTGTAGCCCTCTGTGTCTTGGGCTGAATGTACCGCCCGATGCTTTGTTGCTGCTTTTTGAGCTGATGGGCAGGTTGGGGCCTGCCGGCGGGGGGTGGTTCTGCGGCGCGTTCGCGGGCTGACTTGTCCCTGGCGGGTTGTGTTTGGGGCGCGCTAGGCGTGGCGTCCAGGCACGCCGGGTCAAGGGGCTGGGCCCCTGCATTTTGGTTGACGTCTGTGGCTTCCCTTCCGGTTTGCCGGATGGGTAGGCCTTGGTTGCGTAGCAGGTGGTATAGGATCGTATGCGTGTGGGGTACTGGCCCAATCTTCCTACGTTTTCTCGCGGCTGTCGCCGTGTGGGGAGCTGCGTCGTGCTGTATCACCGTTGTTGCGCGCTCCACCGCATGGTTGAGTCGGCGTGCCGTCGGGCCGTGTTGAACACGCGGGGCGGCGTGTCGCACTTCGGGATATGCGCCGGTCGTGCGCCGTGCCGCTTCTACGTTGGTGGCACGGTGATCTGGTGCGCCTTCTGCCGCCTCTGCGGGAACCTGGGTTTCCGGTGGCTGGTTTGGATGGAGGGGGTTTGGTGCTGGAGGCCCGTCCGGGTCGCGCCCGTCGGGGTCCAATGCCATGCACATGGGTTCAGTCGCTGGGTGCTCCGTCGTCGCTCGTCTTTCACGGTCGTCGGTGTCCATGGGCTCCTGGTTCGGCGGTGACTGGTCAGTGGGTGCATCTTGCTGGGTGCCGTCCACTGGGGGGGTTCCGGTGTGTGTTTCCGGGGGCGGCTGTGTCGGTTGCTGGGTCCCGCCGGGGGGCGGGGCCCAGTCCTCCGGGAGTTTGACTTCCCTCAGGTCTGTATGGGTAGCGATCCCTTCGCGGTTCGGGCGGAGGTGGAGGCAGTAGACCGCCCCCTCCCCCCGAGGCCAGAGCGGCTCTTCGGGGCTGATCAGTTGTGTGCTGTCGTACAGGGAGTCGATAATGTACCAGCACTCGCCTTGCTTCTTGACTGCTACGGCGTGTCCGTTGAGGTGGACAATAAAGCCCCAGTTTCGGGCGTGTGCCGGCAAGAGTGACACAACCGTGTTTATGTTCATGTTTCGTGTCAGGGTAACGGTTTGCCCCGCGTGTTGGCAGCTCGCACTGGCGATGTGGGCGTCTCCGATGGGTATGCCACCGGGGTCTTGCAGCCGTACGCTGTGGCGGAGGTAGTGATTCACCACTATTGTGGAAAACAGACCTTCGTCGGGGAGGTGTGCCGCATTCCAGATGGCAAGCGCCCCGGTGAGCCTCCAAGCCGCCATGTGTGCTTGCATTGCTCGGCAGTAACTGAGAATGTGCTCGGGGTCGATGTACGGCCCCCCAAGCAGGTTGTTTATGGAGTGTATCATACATAGCTGTCTCTGCTGCTTTTCGTGGTACAGGGGTGCGCCGGGCGTAACTGGACCGGGCGGTGGCCAAGTGATGTCTGCGGGTGGCCTTGGCACGTGGCCCCCTCCGCGGTTCCCCCCGAGCCTTGTTCTCTTGGCGGGTCTATCGGGTCGGCCGGCGCAGGGCGCGTATTCGGGGTGAGCGCAGCGCGAGCTGTGCTCAGGTGGGTTGTCGGGGTTTTTTGGTATTTGGTATTTTGGCGCAGGTTGATTGCTGGTGCACCCGCGGTTGCAGGTGTGTGAGTGGGGGTGGTTCCAGATGGCCAGGGTGAGAAGTGTTAGTACGCTGGTGAACGGGTCGAGCGTTGCGTTGAGGTGGGCCGTGGTGAGTCCTACTGCGGCGCAGGCGGTGAGTAGGTGCCGCGTGTGGCGCGCCGCGAGTGGCACCGCTTGGAGCCCAGGGGTAACGATGGGGATTCCCAGGGTTAGGATTGGCACGTGTGCGTCGGCTGTAGCAAGTAGCCAGCACAGCGACGCTGGGGCCAGGAGAGACGTTGCTGCCCGCGCGTATAGGCCCGGGGAGTTCTGTACCGTTCGGACTGCTGAGCGGGTGACAAGTGCAGCATGCAAGATTGCCTTCACAGATGTTATTCCTGCCGGTATAACTATGAGAACTGTGACAACGTATGCCAGTCCATAGAGTGTCAGGGCCCCTAGCACGAGCCAGATCGCCTCAGTCAGTGGGGATAGTGAGACTGCAAGCGCTCCAGGGATCAGAGTGTACGGAAGGAGGATGATGCAGTACCAGCCCTGTCGCCATTCGGACAGCGTTCGAATTGCGCTCCCTTTGACGGTGAATGTCCGTTTCACTACGTTGCATGTTCGCCGGGCAAGGTTGCCGCCCCACGCGTAGGCCAGGTAGGCGCAGCCTAGCGTGCAGCCGACAGAGATGGTGTCGACAGTCGCATAGGATACGTCTGCCGCGAGGTGGAGGGTCAGGTCCGCCACCGATAGGGCTATCTTCGCGGTCAGCAGCCCGGTGTTGCAGGCTAGCCACACGATGGTGGCCATGATATATGCTGTGCCCGTCGAGAGGTTTTGCAATATTCGTAATGCACCCTGCCAGGTGGTGCACGGCTTGGGGAAAGATATAAAGCGGGGAGTGGCCGTGCCGCTGGTAGTGCTTCGGTGCTGTACGTCAACGTCAGGTCGTTCGTGTTCCGGTATTCTTTGGATTGCTTCCTTACTATTCACCGGTTGCTTGATGGGTCTTCTAAGTTGCCCCCATGTTCCTCTTTTTGACCTGTTGTGGCCTTTGTTGGCTACCAAGTCGGTCGCCCGCCCATTACTTAGGTCTCCGACGTTCCTGCCTTCGTAGCTTTGACATGTTCCCATAACCATGCTTGTGCTGCATCTTGTTATTGTCAAGCTGCGATTGCCTGTCTGGTGGTCGCACTCGGGAACTGCCCCTCTGTAGGAGTGATATGTTTCAGGCGCCCTTTCGTAAGTTGCGTTATACTGCCTTATAGATAACGGATAAATGTCTGCTACCGGACAAGGCACATTTCTGCCGTTAAGCGTGCTCGCGGTGCTGCCGATACTTCCGATGGGCTGGAGACCCTGGCTGAGCTCGTCGCCATTCCGGTTACATAATATTGTCCAAATATCATTATAACCGGCTATTGCGACGGGTATGGTATCCTGGCTGGAGGCCTGGGAAATGGTGACCTGGCTGGAGTCCACCCTCAGGCCCTTGGCCGAACCTTTACGAGCCACCTCTAAACCATTAGAGTAAGTCTTAACGACCTCATACATGGTCGCAGTCGAGAGTGGGGTCTGGGCTCCCCCGATTTGAGTAATCGGCAGCGTCAGCTGGGCGTTTGTCGCCGCTGCTGAAATCCAAATAGCGCCTACATTTTTGGAGTGTTCTGAGTGGCAGTTTGTTTGATTGTAAGAGCGGTCTGTGAGACTGGGACGGGTCCCCGCGATAGCTGTCCATGGCCTTCGGGGAGAGTTTGTCTCCCGAAGAATTGGTGTTCCGTTGGCTCCCATAATGCACCAGCGGCAGTCCTCACGGTCCTTAAATGCCAGTCCGTCCCGCCCCTCCGATCCCTGGCTACAGTCAAAAGACCTTCGCCAGGTGGGGCGGGGGGATGCAGGAAGCCGAGGGACTGCAGAGTCGCTGGGCGGGCATGCCAGAGTCGGCCTGCAGAATACAAGGCTTATCAGCACGAGAATAAGGTGCTTGCGCCATACCTTTCGCCGACTTCGTGCGCCATCCATGGTCTTGTCACTGGGTTGGGATATATCCCTATTCATAGTTGTCTCCATAACTATATTATATCTGCTTCGGTTGCGCTAAAACCCTAAAACCCTAAAACCCTAAAACCCTAAAACCCTAAAACCCTAAAAACCCTAAAACCCAAACTCCCAGCATGCAAGTAGAGGTACAAACGTGCCCCCGCTCTGGCGATGAAACCATCTCGTGGGTTCGTGATGGCATGGATTAGTGATGGCATGGCACACCCTACCTTATCGCTGATGTGCCTTCTTTCTGTCCTTGGTCGTTTCCCACTACAGTGCAAGGCCAGCTGACCCCTCTGACTGTACTCCATGTACCAGCTTGAAACATACGTGTCACGTTTTTGTTGAGGTTGAAGATAATACTAATCCATGTCAGGCAAGGGGAGTTGCGAGAATCGAACTCGTGGCCTCTCGCACCCGAAGCGAGAATCATACCACTAGACCAAACTCCCAGCATGCAAGTAGAGGAACACACGTGCGTCCGCTCTGGCGATGAAACCATCTCGTGGGTTCGTGATGGCATGGATTAGTGATGGCATGGCACACCCTACCTTATCGCTGATGTGCCTTCTTTCTGTCCTTGGTCGTTTCCCACTACAGTGCAAGGTCAGCTGACCCCTCTGACTGTACTCCATGTACCAGCTTGAAACATACATGTCACGTTTTTGTTGAGGTTGAAGATAATACTAATCAATGTCAGGCAAGGGGAGTTGCGAGAATCGAAATCGCGGCCTCTCGCACCCGAAGCGAGAATCATACCACTAGACCAAACTCCCAGCTTGCATACTGGGAGTTTGGTCTAGTGGTATGATTCTCGCTTTGGGTGCGAGAGGCCGCGGATTCAAATCCCGCAACTCCCCTATTGCTGCTGGAACTTTGTTATGGCATTTCTGTTGATTGATCAAGCAACACTTGTGGAATGAACTCACCTTCATGGCCACCATCATGATAGACACTGACAGGTAGAGTCGAGTCATCAGTGGGACAGCTGGCCTTGCACGGTATGTAGTGGAAATGACCAGTGGATAAAACCCTTTTACACGGTGCATGCATTGCATGCCCGTATTCCATGCCATCACTCACCCATGAGATGGTTATTTCTCCAGCGTGGATTCTCGTGTGTACCTTTACTTGCATCCTGGGAGTTTGGTCTAGTGGTATGATTCTCGCTTTGGGTGCGAGAGGCCGCAGGAGTCCCGCAACTTCCCTCTTGCTGCTGGAACTTTGTTATGGCATTTTTGTTGATTGATCAAGCAACAATTGTGGAATGAACTCAACTTCATGGCCACCATCATGATAGACACTGACAGGTAGAGTCGAGTCATCAGTGGGACAGCTGGCCTTGCACGGTATGTAGTGGAAATGACCAGTGGATAAAACCCTTTTACACGGTGCATGCATTGCATGCCCGTATTCCATGCCATCACTCACCCATGAGATGGTTATTTCTCTAGCGTGGATTCTCGTGTGTACCTTTGCTTGCATCCTGGGAGTTTGGTCTAGTGGTATGATTCTCGCTTTGGGTGCGAGAGGCCGCGGATTCGATTCCCGCAACTCCCCTTCTGCTGCTGGAACTTTGTAATGGCATTTCTGTTGATTGATCAAGCAACAATTGTGGAATGAACTCACCTTCATGGCCACCATCATGATAGACACTGACAGGTAGAGTCGAGTCATCAGTGGGACAGCTGGCCTTGCACGGTATGTATTGGAAATGACCAGGGACTGGATGAAGCACAGTTTGAACATGTAGAGGCGTTGATATCCCCTAGGAGATGCCTGAGAGTTAGGACACTTAATTGGTGGTCGAGAGGTCACCAGTTCGATCCCGGTCTTCACATAGGGCTGGGTAACCTTACGGCTCTGGTGTGGGAATGAACAGCATGTGATCGCATGGCTCTTCAGCCATGTCCCTGTCCCTTCACTGGTAGAACTCATCACGGTAGAATTATCAAGAATGATGTGTGTGGCATATCTGGGAAGTATGTGTGCGGGTACCCAGATGTGATCTGTGAGAGATGGAGCCCAGACATGGAGTAGGTGGAAGAAGTAACCCATCTTAGTCCAAAAGGCGGTCACCACGGTAATGGGCTGTACCCGCCGATGAGGCATCAGTCTGTTCCCTTAACACATGCTAGGGCTTATGGTCCAGCGTAAACGTTCCTAGAGCTGATAGATGATGAGCCACCCAGAAAGGAATGCGTGAGCCCAGCTGAAAGGTTTCGATGACTTTGGCCTTGAGGCTTCCCAAATGGTGTTGGGCCCCACCAGCAGCCCCGCCCCCCACCCCCCACCCACCCCGGCCCATCAACCCCCATCCCCCACCCCCACCCCACGCACCCACCCACCCACATATACACAAAGACGAACTTGCAATTTCAGGCCACACGCGGCCGCAGACCAGTGCTCAATGCTGCCTCCTCCCTGACCCTAGTCTGAAAGATCCCCTAGGAAGGTCCTGAGATTTGGGGCACTAAACTTGTGACCACATGGTCTCAGGATCAATCCTGGCCTTCACATAGGGCTGGGTAACTGAAGGGGGCCCTGGTGTGAGTTATAACAGGTGATTGCAAGGCGCTTTAGCCATGTCCCTGTACCCTGTACTTGTAGATATCAGCACGGTTCAATTTTCAACAATCATGTGTCTGGCTTGCATATCAGCAGGTGCTGTTCCCTTTATATCCTAATTTCCATTTCCATCCCTTTTTGTGTATGATACAATATAAATAGACATTTGATGTGCAGAACCACAAACAAAGAATGTGAAGTGCTGGTATGACAGATTTGGGGTTTGCAAGGGTGCGTGCATGCATAAAAGCCAAAGTTATTCCTAGCATGCTGAATCAGTGGTGATAGGTTTATGGCTCCAACATGCATATGCTTTAACTAACATGGTGTGCAATGCAGTGTGTCACATCCTCTGAATACAGAAATTGACCTCATGTGCTATGTAAGAGTTTGGTCTGTTTTCCTTTTACACGGCGCATGCATTGCATGCCCGTATTCCATGCCATCACTCACCCATGAGATGGTTATTTCTCCAGCGTGGATTCTCGTGTGTACCTTTGCTAGCATCCTGGGAGTTTGGTCTAGTGGTATGATTCTCGCTTTGGGTGCGAGAGGTCGCGGGTTCGATTCCCGCAACTCCCCTCTTGCTACTGGAACTTTGTAATGGCATTTCTGTTGATTGATCAAGCAACAATTGTGGAATGAACTCACCTTCATGGCCACCATCATGATAGACACTGACAGGTAGAGTCGAGTCATCAGTGGGACAGCTGGCCTTGCACGGTATGTAGTGGAAATGACCAGTGGATAAAACCCTTTTACACGGCGCATGCATTGCATGCCCGTATTCCATGCCATCACTCATGCAAGTAGAGGTACACACGAGACCCCGCCCTTACGATGAAACCATCTTATGGGTTCGTGATGGCATGGATTAGTGATGGCATGGCACACCCTACCTTATCGCTGATGTGCCTTCTTTCAGTCCTTGGTCGTTTCCCACTACAGTGCAAGGCCAGCTGACCCCTCTGACTGTACTCCATGTACCAGCTTGAAACATACACGTCACGTTTTTATTGAGGTTGAAGAAAACTCTAATCAATGTCAGGCAAGGGGAGTTGCGAGAATCTAACTTGCGGCCTCTCGCACCCGAAGCGAGAATCATACCACTAGACCAAACTCCCAGCATGCAAGTAGAGGTACACACGAGACCCCACCCTGGCGATGAAACCATCTCATGGGTTCGTGATGGCATGGATTAGTGATGGCATGACACACCCTACCTTATCGCTGATGTGCCTTCTTTCTGTCCTTTGTCGTTTCCCAATACAGTGCAAGGCCAGCTGACCCCTCTGACTGAGCTCCATGTACCAGCTTGAAACATACGTGTCACGTTTTTATTGAGGTTGAAGAAATTACTAATCAATGTCAGGCAGGGGAGTTGCGGGAATCGAACCCGCGACCTCTCGCACCCAAAGCGAGAATCATACCACTAGACCAAACTCCCAGGATGCAAGTAAAGGTACACACCAGACGCCACGCTGGAGAAATAGCCATCTCATGGGTGAGTGATGGCATGGAATACGGGCATGCAATGCATTCGCCGTGTAAAAGGAAAACAGACCAAACTCTTACATAGCACATTAGGTCAATTTCTGTATTCAGAGGATGTGACACACTGCGTTGCACACCATGTTAGTTAAAGCATATGCATGTTGGAGCCATAAACCTATCACCACTGATTCAGCATGCTAGGAATAACTTTGGCTTTTATGCATGCACGCACCCTTGCAAACCCCAAATCTGTCATACCAGCACTTCACATTCTTTGTTTGTGGTTCTGCACATCAAATGTCTATTTATATTGTATCATACACAAAAAGGGATGGAAATGGAAATTAGGATATAAAGGGAACAGCACCTGCTGATATGCAAGCCAGACACATGATTGTTGAAAATTGAACCGTGCTGATATCTACAAGTACAGGGTACAGGGACATGGCTAAAGCGCCTTGCAATCACCTGTTATAACTCACACCAGGGCCCCCTTCAGTTTACCCAGCCCTATGTGAAGGCCAGGATTGATCCTGAGACCATGTGGTCACAAGTTTAGTGCCCCAAATCTCAGGACCTTCCTAGGGGATCTTTCAGACTAGGGTCAGGGAGGAGGCAGCATTGAGCACTGGTCTGCGGCCGTGTGTGGCCTGAAATTGCAAGTTCGTCTTTGTGTATATGTGGGTGGGTGGGTGCGTGGGGGTGGGGGTGGGGGGTGGGGGTTGATGGGCCGGGGTGGGTGGGGGGTGGGGGGCGGGGCTGCTGGTGGGGCCCAACACCATTTGGGAAGCCTCAAGGCCAAAGTCATCGAAACCTTTCAGCTGGGCTCACGCATTCCTTTCTGAGTGGCTCATCATCTATCAGCTCTAAGAACGTTTACGCTGGACCATAAGCCCTAGTGTGTGTTAAGGGAACAGACTGACGCCTCATCGGCGGGTACAGCCCATTACCGTGGTGACGGCCTTCTGGACTAAGATGGGTTACTTCTTCCACCTACTCCATGTCTGGGCTCCATCTCTCACAGATCACATCTGGGTACCCGCACACATACTTCCCAGATATGCCACACACATCATTGTTGATCATTCTACCGTGATGAGTTCTACCAGTGAAGGGACAGGGACATGGCTGAAGAGCCATGCAATCACATGCTGTTCATTCCCACACCAGAGCCTTAGGGTTACCCAGCCCTATGCGAAGACCGGGATCGAACTGGTGACCTCTCGACCACCAATTCAGTGTCCTAACTCTCAGGCATCTCCTGGGGGATATCATCGCCTCTACATGTTCTAACTGTGCTTCATCCAGTCCCTGGTCATATCCACTACATACCGTGCAAGGCCAGCTGTCCCACTGATGACTCGACTCTACCTGTCAGTGTCTATCATGATGGTGGCCATGAAGGTGAGTTCATTCCACAATTGTTGCTTGATCAATCAACAGAAATGCCATAACAAAGTTCCAGCAGCAAGAGGGGAGTTGCGGGAATCGAACCCGCGGCCTCTCGCACCCAAAGCGAGAATCATACCACTAGACCAAACTCCCAGGATGCAAATAAAGGTACACACCAGACGCCGCGCTGGAGAAATAGCCATCTCATGGGTGAGTGATGGCATGGAATACGGGCATGCAATGCATTCGCCGTGTAAAAGGGTTTTATCCACTGGTCATATCCACTACATACCGTGCAAGGCCAGCTGTCCCACTGATGACTCGACTCTACCTGTCAGTGTCTATCATGATGGTGGCCATGAAGGTGAGTTCATTCCACAATTGTTGCTTGATCAATCAACAGAAATGCCATAACAAAGTTCCAGCAGCAAGAGGGGAGTTGCGGGAATCGAACCCGCGACCTCTCGCACCCAAAGCGAGAATCATACCACTAGACCAAACTCCCAGGATGCAAGTAAAGGTACACACCAGACGCCGCGCTGGAGAAGTAGCCATCTCATGTGTTGCGGGAGCAGCACTAAACCGTGCCAAGTTTCAGGACGGTTTCGCTCCGTCAAGCACAGGTCTCAACAGCAGTGGTCCAGTAATCCTCGCGTAGATTACTCTGCTAACCAGGCTCCCTTCCAGGGCTTTTATACCCTGTTGCGAAGAAGGCTGAAACGACCTCTGGGATTCCGTACGTTCGAGGACCTTC